CAGGGGTGGGACTGGGTGGCCTTTGGAGGTCCCTGCCCACCCAAACCATTCTGTGACTCTACAATGATTCTATGAACTGCTGCAGCTATGCCCATGAACACTGGCCTGCCAGACCTACCAGGGCATGAAACGCCGAACGGCACGCTATGGCCACATCCAGCAGCGAGTGAGCTGATGGCAAGGGAAATTCCCAGGACCAGAACTACAGCCAGTGGGCTATGCATTCGTGGCACAGTTTTCATCTCATGGTTTTGATTTGAGAGGTAGCACTATCCATATCAGGGCTTGGGCAAAGTTCAGGAGATAACCAGGGCAAGGACCATTTCCCAGTAAAATGGATGCAGACACCAGGCTCTGGACATCAAGTGACGGCCATTTCCAACAGTTAAGAATCTGGCACGTTTAACTTAAGCATCAATTCAGTAGATGCGCTCAAAGCACAGCTGCCATGGACTTTGGGTGCAGTGAGTCTACCTGGCATTCACACCAAGACGACTGAAATTGAGATCCCAGACAATGACGAAGGTTCAGAATCTCACTTTGGTGCAAGTAACCTGTCATGTACGACAGGGACAGAAGCCACTTCTCAGGCCAGAACCAGTTATAAAGCCTTCTCATCCTCTCCTCCCCAGCTGCCTTCATCTCACTTATAAGCATTAATGCAACTTTTGTCTAGTGAAGTCCAAATATATACAGCCTACAACGCTTAGGGTTAGGCAGTCCTCAGTATAGCCTGCTGTGCTGAAAGATCTGAGGTGGCCACAGAAAGCAAGGAGATCAACCAGCCAGAGTCCCACAGGATCTCTCTTCACAAACATATTCAGGGAAGGAGTTTCAGAAGTCATGTGAAACTACAGTTCAAATTTACATGTAAAAAAGTTCTCTGCTCAGAAAGAAAACTGAAGCTTCCTGTTGACACCACCTACGCTGCCACTTAGGTCTGTGAGACCGTGCACAGTTTCAACACAAGCAGTTCCTTCTCCCAGAAAAAAAAGAAACTTTATCATTTTGTTATTCCAGCAGCTAAACCTTACACAAGGCTCCCAGAAACAAAACAAAAGAAAATGAACAAAGGAACTATTTTAGTGATGTTTTATGCATACCAAGAGACAAGAGAGACAATAAGGTTTTTATTCATAAGGTAGTAGGGGGAAAAAAAGGAAATGAAGCTGTAGCAAGAAACAGTACTTACTTCAGAGTTATTCCCATGCAGCAATAATCTCTGCTTAGTGTCAGTTAATTCCAGGTTTGAAGGCTGATTTCATTCTCTGCCATTACATCTTTCATTTTCTAATATACTCAATAAACTTCCAGCCCAGGTAGCAGGGTTCTGCCAGCCACCTTCACCAGCACGTATTTTTAAAGAGGGCACCCCGTCAAGCAGCCGTATCTCCCTGCGAATCCCTTCGTCAGCGAAGCCCATTAGGTCCCATACCTAAAATCATGGCAGGGAAAGGTCTGGACTCCAGCAAGCCAACAGTCCACACAAAAATTCACAACTAATTGGAATTCTACTCTAAATTGCCAAGCCTGTGCGCTAAGTATGTTCAAGCTCAATTACAGTCGACTAAATCAGTTTTCATACATGTCTTAACCTACTTATGCTATATTTGTTAGCTAGAAAATAAATACGGTACATGAATCTGCTTGCACATGAACTGCCTCTGTTTATGAAAGAGAAAATTTGTCACTACTTGCTATAACAGTAATTTTGTCCTCAAGTTACATAAAAATAAAATTCAAGTTAACACTTACCCCGGCTAATTTACACTCAGCAGATTGACAAGACAGATAATACATAAACGGAGGGAAGTGGATTCATTCAGGAAAAGCATTAGCTTTGTCGAAGAGGCAGGTACTGTGTCTTGGAGGTCATTAAAAAGATTCAGCCAGTCAACCCGTTATAAATAGTTAGAAGCTCAAGAAGAGCCCAGAAGCTCTTTGCCTTCCCAACTTCCGTAACGATGACTTACTGCAGTGCAGAAACTCAGATCAGCTACTTCTCGTTTCAATAATTAAAACTCCTTACTGCTACAACTGCCGAGGAAAGGAAGGAGACACCATCACTTACGTTTTCAGACCAGGCAACTCGCTGGAACGTACGCTCTCCGCTGAACCCACGGACCCACGCTCGATTAGCTCCAGCCACGCCGGCAGATGAAAGCCACGAGCTACACTGGAACACCCTCGCAGGTACTACGTGAGGATTTCAAACTTTTAACAGCGAAACTGAGGAGCCAGAGCCTCTCCAGTCCTTTCCAAACAGATTTTGACATTTGTTTGCATGATGCAGTCGCTCTCAATATTTGAGAAATGAAAGCTTGCGATGCTTTACCTGCTTCACAGTATGTCTGAAGTTTTTCAAAAATTTTAAGTCAATGCAGTTTTATGAGG